AATTGAGAGCAAAGATCTCAATGAAAACCCAATGACCAACAGGTAACCTTGAGACATATCTGCTCACCAGTTCCTTCTTCACAGTAGCATGAATCTTCTTGCCCTGTGAAAGAACAAAAAACAGTAGAGTTAAAAAAAATAATATCTTTTAAATGGTTTAATGTAAACTAATTCACAATTAACATTGGCTACTGAATTACCTCCATATCAGATAACACCAACTCTAGAGTTTCACCAGTGCTGGCTGTGTACTGCCGCCAGGAGTGAAGTACCTTCACTTGGACTCTCCACTGTGTGGTGTATGGCCTGACATCTTTGAGGTAAGCAAATGTTGCAGCAGCCATTGTTTGATGGTTTATGGTAAGATCTAATGTTTAGATTAGAGGCTGTGAGGGCTGATGATAATGAGAGGTTAGACATGGAACTATATATAGGGTCATATAGTAGGTTAAAGAAAACTTGATCACAAAGCATATTGGTATCGCAATCTTGACCAAATCGGCATAAAATCTTAGCATTGTTATAGTTATGGAAGCTAGATAAATGGTTAGCAATAAATAGGTTGTGATCATGAGAAATATTTGGGAAGGAGAGGATAATGTAAAGATACTCTGGAATGATATGAACAGAGGATAGGCGGGAAACATAAATTCAATTAGTAGAGGGAAATTCATATTTGGAAGTAATTTAAATAGATACAATTGTTAAATATTGCATTGACAAAAATGGAGAAACAATAGACATGATAAGGTCTGTGAGCAGTTATTTGTTTTGATTGTGTAAATATCAGTAGAATCAATTAGGTATTATTAGAATCCGGAGATATTTGATTATGGAAATAGTTTATGAATATGTCAAGTGCGAAATAATAGCTTAGTAGAGCATCAACACATATTTGGAAGGAATTTAAATTGACAGATACTGTAAATATGTTTGTTGCAGATTGCATTGGCGAAAATAAAGGAACAATGGAGATTGCATTTGACGAAAATATACTTAAGGTATGAGAGATGTTATTTGTTTTGATTTTGGTAAAAATAAGTAGATGAATTAAAGACAACATAGCTTCATTTAAAGAATTTAAATTAAGACAACATCCCTTAAATCTCTTATTCTAGATCCGAACACAATAAAACCGGGTCAAACCCGGATCCAAAAGAATTAAAGCAAAAAAGTACTGTAAAAATGTATATGTAGATTACATGGCAATGATGTGGATGCCAAGCAGCCCAATAAACGTGAATTTATTCTTTTTTTATTGTTCAACTATGATAATAATTTTATTTAGTATTTTTGAACATTCAAGGTAAAATAAACATTATTAGTGATAAAAATGAAAATGTACAATGCTATTCAAATATTTAGTCTAAGTTGCTGATATAAACTAAATCATAACCTAAAGTATTTTAGAAATTATTTTGTAAATAACAAATTAAATAAATTTCCTATAAAATTATATGAAGTGCAAATAAAAGCTTTCAAAAAATCCCAAAGATTAGTTTCATTGTTTAATCTCTTTTTATATTCCCCTTTATTTAACTTATATTTATAGGTTTAATTCTAATGATTTCATCTTTATAGTACAAGCTAATTGGATATGGAATATCAAATTTTTTTTATATATATCAAAAAATCCTTACACTACAAAATTTGAATTAAATAAAATTTTAATGATCTTTATATTATTATATGTTGAATCAATAAAACTAAATATAATGATAGGTATACTAAAAAATTGTATTACAAAATTGAATTAAACAAAAAAATAGTCAATTCACAATTGTATTACAAAACATTATTTCGTTAAAACAATGAATACTTTTAAAAATAAAATAAATATACATGAATATGTAAGAAATAATCAAACATTCAAAGTAAAAAAAAATGAAGATAGTTTCTTTAGCTTGATTCCTTATTGCGCGATGGTCGGAATTAGTATTTTTGGATCTGCATCAATAAAGTAATTTTATTATAGCCATCAAAATTATAATATACATATGTAATTTTAAATAAAAAATATTAAAAAAACAAAGAAAGAATGGAAGAAATACATAAAAACAAAGAAGAAATAAAATTGAAAAGAATGTAAGATGTATATTAAACAAAAAATAAAATCAAACTCTTACAATGATATCTTAATTGAGTTTTCAACTCATGCAAGAACATAAACAAAACAAAAAGAATATTTAGGATTTGAGACATAGTGGAGGAGGATGTGAGAATGGTTATTTATAGGAAAATAAGTGATGGAAGTTACATTTCTAAACTAATTAGATTATAGGAGTTACAATTATAATTATAGTGTGTTTAAATGACAATGAATAGAGAAAAAATAGTCAATTCACAATTATGTAATTTCAGTTACAATTGAGTAGTAAAGTGTAGATTTAAAGTATGAATTAATGTGTATGATTAAATGTGTTATATTTTAAGTTTAATTGAAAATAAATATTATAATTTTAAAAATGCCAAGTGGACCAATCATGAGAGAGTGAAACCCTACTTTTATATGTATGATTACAACTTGTTTTATTCCAACATAGAATGATATATTGTTTATTTTAGGGTAATACAAGTAGAAAGTGGGGTGTACATTATTTATCTTATCTAAAAACATGAATTATCTTTTTCAGATTTTAAGAAAAACAAAATCAATCTAAAAGATCCTAGTTATAGTTTTTTCTTTATTTATCTGCAAGTATTTTTTTTATATTATAATGTGTTATTGGTTTTTTGTCCAAAACAAAATAAAAATGTGTTACTAGTTTATTTATTTTTTCAAATGAAATGTTTTGATAAATTAAAATTAAATGTTAATGTTAATAAACTAGTATTTCTGCATATATTTTTAATGAAACTACAGTTCACATAATTGTTTTTACCTCGATCTAACCAATCGAGGCAAGATCTCTTACGAACACAACAAATAGGCCAAAGTCTGGAAAATACCAATGTTTAAGATGATGTCATTGTCATACCGTCTACAATCATCTTTTCTTGAATGCAATCAAATTCTCAAATTTGTGAAACTCTACGTGCTCAATTTATTACCGACACCTTTCACATTATTTAATACTTTTCCCGAAAAAATAATTTTATAAATTCCTAAAATCTGTTTTAAATTTAATTTGTATTCAGAAATACATTTTCAAAAGTTAAATCACATATATGAAAATTGGCCAACTCTCTCCATATGAGTGTCACATCATCACAGAAGAAAATGAAATGTGTCATTCTAGATTATTAAAAAAAAAAATTAGCCAAATTAAATGAAAAAAAATTGAAAGTTCTCTATTACATTAAATCCTCCATCAATTCTATTCTTAAATGATTTATTCAAAATTAAAAGAAATACAAAATTATGTTGATAAAAAGCACTACTTTAATTATACTCTTCTTATTTTACTAAAAAAAATATAATCAATGGTCACCTCTCGATAATGACTGAAACTTTATTTTTTTTATAATTTAGTTGTTTGCTACCTAACCTCTTATTAGTTTAGTAATTTTTTCTTGAGTCTTTCTCTCTTTTTTTTTCGGTCGAAACATGAAATTTTATTACTTTAATCATTGTTAAAAGAATACAATCGATGGCATAACCATGGAGGAACATGAGAAACATGTGAAAAATAATGTGCATTTACATTAGGAACTTTAGCTAAAAGATGAGCAACCCCGTTGTTACAACGTTTTGTGAATTGAAATGAGACTCTTTGGAACTTCCTCGACCAATGCTTGATATCTTGAAAGAATTCTCATAATCGATATGTCTTGACCATCGTCATTAAGAATTTTGATTAGAACTTCACACTCCCCTTCAAATATTGCCGACCTGTATCTTTTAATCCATACCTGCTGAACTGCTGCAAGTAATGCTCGTGCTTCTGCTTCTAAAGCAGTGTGAACTTGGCAAAGTCTCGCCGAACCCCACATGATAGCTTTCCTTGATGATTATGGACAATCCAACCTCCAGTTGCCAAAGAAGTGGATGTATCAAAACCCGTGTCAAAATTACATTTAACATGAGATTGAGGAGGTGGTGTCCAAACAGTTGGTGACGAACTTGTGTGTCTTTGTTGTACTCTGGCTGTATCTTGATGGTTAAAAGAATCTATCCACTCCTTAACTTCACTCCGGGATTGTGACACTACCTTCGCAGGATTGATCCTAACTTTGTTGAATACAAGATGGTTGCGGGCTTTCCAAATTCTCCATAGAATCCAATAGGGCAATAATTGTTCCTCTTTGTTAATTGATGATTGTCTTGTAAGTCAACAAAACTTTTGATTAAGGCGTCAATCTCATCAGTGAGGTTATGCAGTCGTCGCAGTGGAATCTTTGTATAGCGCCAGACCAGAAGTGAGTGACGGCTTCAGAAAAAATTAGCCAAATTAAATGAAAAAAAATTGAAAGTTCTCTATTACATTAAATCCTCCATCAATTCTATTCTTAAATGATTTATTCAAAATTAAAAGAAAAACAAAATTATGTTAATAAAAGCACTACTTTAATTATACTCATCTTATTTTACTAAAAAAGATATAATCAATGGTCACCTCTCGATAATGACTGAAACTTTATTTTTTTTATAATTTAGTTGTTTACTACCTAACCTCTTATGGTCCATTCGGGTATTCCTAAAGTTTCGGTTCCGGTCCGGTTCAGGTATCGTCGGATTCGGATCGGTTTGGGTAATGAGTATAAGAACCGGAAAAAACCAGAAAAATTTGAGTACCCATTGGGTTCAGGTCTAAATGGATAAAATTACCCATAAACCCGAATATGACTCCAATACCCGAAGTTTAAAATCATTTTACATGCTCAAATGATCAAATAAAGAGAATAGAACATCAAACATGACATTTAAATACTAAATCCAATCCAAAATAACAAAGATGACTACTTAACTCTTAAGTGTTAAGAGTAAATCCAATCCAAAATCACATAAATCCGATTATTCGAAAATGAAAAACGTAGAACAAGATCCGGTGATGCATGACTGATGAGTGATGACTTTGTTTTGAATCTTTCTCTCCTAACAAGAAAAAACAATCAAATGTTACTTACCTTAATCACTCAAAAACATGAAAGTCAATGTAATTACTTACCTTAATCATTCAAAACCATGGATGTGGAATTCAGGTTCAAACTCTACATCACATTGACAAGTTAAACAACAACAGATTATAATCAAACTTTGAAACTGTAATTGATAAGAAAAAACTAAAAAGAGAGTTCTAGGAAAAAATTACCTCTCATAAGCTCATCTTCTTCCACTTGATCTGCAAGCAGTTCATGAATTGTTGACACTCCTCTTTCATTGATACGAATCTCAGATTTTAACCATTGCTCGGTGCACATCAACACTTCTATCATGTAATGTGTTAAGCAGCTTCTGAATGGATCTAACACTCTACCACCAATGCTAAATGCAGATTCTGATGCCACAGAAGACACTTGCATAGCGAATATATCCTTAGCTATTAGAGAAAGAACTGGAAACTTCCCACTGTTGAGCTTCCACCATGACAAGACATCATACTCTATTCCTTTTAGAATTTGTGGAGTCTCCACAACCTCATTCAAGTATAAATCCAACTCATTAGATGATTTATGAATACATGTTTCTTTCACAATAACATCAAATAAGTTTTCTATATCCTCTAATATAAGACCATTACCCACGACTGTTTCAACTTGCTCTTGGGACTGAGAACACGCTCCTTGTAACTGAGAAGATGCCATTGAATCACTCATCATACAAATCCTTCAAGATTTGAATCATTGATTCAGAAAGAAAAGTAGCCTCTATACTACCTGTACCATACATCTTAGCAAAGCAGAGCTCAGCAAATTTCATCTTCTTTCTAGGGTCAAAAACACTAGCAACCATCACCAACTTATTCATTTCAACTTGATCACCAAACGGATCCCAATATTTCTTCAGCTTTCCTAACATTGCTAATGCTTTCTTTTTAAGCTCTTCATCAGACTTTTTATCTGTGTTTAAGGGAGTTAGGTTTCTAGCAATGTTGACTATCTCACTGTAGAGCTTATGAGAAGCAACATAAGTTGAACCTGAAAGAACCATTGTCGAATTGTAAAATATAGCAAGGATTTGAATTAACCTGTCAGCTGCATCCTAAGTCATCTGCCATAGGTGGTCCAATCCTTTTAGTTCCATCCACCTTTTCCTCAAAGTAGTCATTGTAGGGTTTATCCTCAGCCTCCATTTCCTCAAAAGCAACCCTAAACTTCACAGCTTGTTCTAGCATGAGATAAGTAGAGTTCCATTTGGTCTTCACATCTAAAGGCAAGCTACCTCTTTTTATCCTTCTAGCATCACAATGCAAATCAAATGATTTGAGTCTATTTGTTGAAGACCTCACATACTGAACCCCATTGCGAATACCATCCACACTATTATTCACTTCATGCATACCTTTCTTTACAACTAAATTCAGGATGTGAGCAGCACACCTTAAGTGCATATATTCACCTTTCAGTACCAATGCATCATCTCCAATCAGCTTCATTGCTTTCTTGAATTTAGTCATTGTAGAGCTGTTAGCTGTAGCATTATCCACTGTGATGCAGAACACCCTCCTTATATCCCACTCATCCAATACATTCCAGAAGAACCTTGCAAATTGTTGCACCCTTATGATCTGTCACATGCTTGAATCCAATAATCATCTTCTTTAACTGCCAATCAGAGTCAACAAAATGAGCTGTTATTACCATAAAACTCTCTCCAGTATTGTTTGAAACCCATATGTTTGTAGTTAGTTTTATTAACTACATAATAATAAATAAAAAAGTAAACAGAAATTAGCTAAAAGAACAATCAACATAATTTTTTCTTAACAATTTTCAAAACAAACCCACGCGTAGTGTGAGTATTCATCTAATACAATAATAAAATGGATGAATATGATTAAATTGATCAGTATAAACTAGTTTCTTTTATATAAATTAAAGTATAGATATATATATATATATATATATATATAAATATAAATTTTATTGGGCTTCGACTAATATATCTTTAACCTTTTTAAGAAAACGTGACGACAAAAGATGCGTCTAGTTACTAGATGAACAGATTCATTCCAAAATTATTTTTATGTTTCTCTATTAATAGGGTTTCGTTATTGTCAAGTTTGTAAAATTTTGATGAATAATATGTCTAATCAAAGTTCTCGCGACGACGAGATTAACTTTACAATTTTAAAAGTCTAATGTATATGACCGCTAAAACGTTTATTATATACGTATAAGAGTTATACTGTGTATTATTTTTTATTTTATATGATTACTTTATATATTTTGGAGGTGAAAGCTAAATTTGCAAAAGTTGGTGAGTTAGACGAACTTTTTATCACAAAATCTTAAACCTAATGTCTTTTTTTTTTAATAACTGTGGGTTTGTAATTTGGCGGGGCCTAAAACCCATTTGGGTTAATGAAAATAATATTACCAAAAAATTCATCGATTTATATCAAGTCTAATTTCATTGAAAAATATGGTTCCAACCGACCTTGTAAATTCGTCTTTCTAGACTCTTCTTCCTTTGTTGTCTGATTTTTCTTTTATATTATGTAATAAATAAATTTATATAAAAAATTTAATACAATAAATAAAATAAAATAATTGGACACGAAACGATGAGTTTGCCCTAAAAGGATGAACCACAATCACGCGTCTTCATTTCTAGTTTCGCAGCCTCCTTCTATTCCTTTATATACAAATACATTAATTTTGCTTCGTTGGTTCTTTCATTATTCACATCTCATCGCCGCAACAAACGTTTCTTCTAAAAGCTCTAACAGAGATTTTCCTCCTTTTTATCTCATCTTACAAGGTAAAGATTCTCGCTTTTTGTTTCCGATTGGTTATATATTGATTGGTTTGTATCTGTTCCTGGTTTGTAAATTTAGATTCTTTATCGATTTTGTGGATTGCCCACATGATTATTTCTTAGATTTGGTCGATTTTGAATCAGAAAGAGATGTTTTTTTGTATGTAGGTCAATGATTCGTTTATGATAGATTAGGTTTTCAGATTTTAAATCTTGAAACTTTAATCTGTTTTTGTTATGGGTTCTTGATTCTTTTTCAAGATTTAGGATTATTCATGTTAGATCTTTTGAATTGGTGATTCTTGTATTGAAAAGTTCAAGTCTTTGTTTTGCTTAAGCAGAGAAAGGAACAATAACTTTGATAATGTCTCTTTAATGTTTATGTGTTTATGTATTTGTAGGAAGTTGGGCAGTTTAAGCTGCTGGGATCATCAGTTTGTCAAAAGTGGAGTGTGAAGAATCTTTTATGTCTGAACAGGCTTCTCTCTTTCAATCATCTATCCGGCTTTTAGGGGAGTACTGTCCTATATCTAGGAAAAAGTCCACTCATAAAGTTGGTGGTTTGCGTCTTGGATCTTTTGAGGCCTTCAACAACACGAGCAGTTCCGGTTTTCAGTTTATGCAACCGAGTGATTTTCACTGTCTCTTCTGACATCCCTCGTCTGTTTACTTGCTTGTTTGTTAAATATCAAGATGGCGTTGCAAAACATTGGTGCTTCCAACCGCGATGATGCCTTTTATAGGTACAAGATGCCGAGGATGATGACCAAAATTGAAGGTAGAGGTAACGGTATCAAGACTAATGTGGTCAACATGGTTGAGATCGCTAAGGCCTTGGGGAGACCTGCTGCTTATACTACCAAGTATTTTGGTTGTGAGCTTGGTGCGCAGTCTAAGTTTGATGAGAAGACTGGAACCTCGTTGGTGAATGGGTCTCATGACACTTCTAAGCTTGCGGGACTGCTGGAGAACTTTATCAAAAAGTATGTTCAGTGTTATGGATGTGGGAATCCTGAAACTGAAATACTCATCACTAAGACGCAGATGCTTCAGTTGAAATGTGCGGCTTGCGGGTTTATCTCGGATGTCGATATGAGGGACAAGCTCACGTCGTTCATTCTGAAGAATCCTCCAGAGCAAAAGAAGTCTTCCAAGGACAAGAAGTCGATGAGGAGAGCTGAGAAAGAAAGGCTCAAAGAAGGTGAAGCAGCTGATGAGGAGATGAGGAAACTCAAGAAGGAGGCTGCTAATAAGAAGAAAGCAGCGACCACAGGTACTTCGAAAGAAAAAGTTTCGAAGAAGAAAGATCATTCTCCTCCTCGAAGCCAGTCTGATGAAAATGAGCAAGCAGACAGTGAAGAAGATGATGACGATGTCCAGTGGCAAACAGATACTTCCAGGGAGGCTGCTGAGAAACGTATGAAAGAACAGCTGAGCGCTGCAACAGCTGATATGGTGATGCTGTCTACAATTGAAGAAAAAAAGCCAGCAGTTCAGGTGAAGAAGGCACCAGAAGCAGTGCATGAGAATGGCAATAGCAAGATCCCTGAAAATGCTCATGAAAAGCTTGTCAATGAGATAAAGGAGCTTCTGAGCAGTGGTTCATCTCCTACCCAACTCAAAACAGCCCTAGCTTCAAACTCCGCAACCCCTCAGGAGAAAATGGACGCCTTATTCTCTGCCCTCTTTGGAGGCGCAGGCAAGGGATTCGCCAAAGAAGTGATCAAAAAGAAGAAATACCTCCTGGCCTTGATGATGATGCAAGAAGAAGCAGGAGCTCCTCAGCAGATGGTTTTGCTTAACGGAATAGAATCCTTCTGCACAAAGGCAAGCACAGAGGCTGCCAAAGAAGTTGCTCTTGTTATCAAAGGTCTTTACGATGAAGACCTTTTGGAAGAGGATGTGATTGTTGAATGGTACAATAAAGGCATTAAAAGCTCCCCTGTGTTGAAGAATGTTACTCCGTTCATTGAGTGGCTCCAGAATGCTGAGTCTGAGTCTGAGGAAGAGTGATGCAGTGTTTCTTTTACTTAGTGTGGTTTAAAATTTGGTCTGCGTTTTTGTGTCTCTGTGTCTGTCTGGTTCTGTGTGAGTCTTGAATAAGGTAAGAGGACAGTGGCCAAGGTTTCTTCTATACGTTAAGTAACACTGGTCATTAGTCTCTCTGTTGTTTGGTCTCTATAGATGATCTCGCCACTCTGTTTCAATGTTTAAGACGGTTTGTTTATGTTCTGTACCTTTGTATTTGTCATGAACTCATGATTTAGATAACTTATGTTGTATGCTTTGGTTTTATGTTTTCTACTTTTCTTAGAATTACTGTGACGATTCCATAGTTTTTAAATCGATTAACCAGAATAGGTATTGTTGAGTTTTAAGAAAACAAATCTTTGTTTCAAGTTGATCGAATTTGGCAAAGATAGGACTAAAGTGTGTTCATTGTTAAAGTCTCCAACATGTTAGGATCTGGATCTTGCTCGTCAAGTTGAATCCTGTTTCTTTCTTTGAGTACGTTCTCTTATTTAAACCAAAAACTTTGGCTATATTCTTCGATTGATCGCAATAACTTAAGACAAAAAACTTTAATAACACTTGTTGAAATTGTGTGTTGCCGGATTACCACTTGACACTTCACGATCGCTCCAATAGAAAGAGCAAACACAAAGAAACAAGACACTCGTGAGTTTTACTAGTTCCTCGGAAATCTTTGATGATCTTGAGTATGTCGTGGCTGTAATTTTAGCAAGCAATCCACTAGATAGTAGATTCCCCTTATTACAACGGATATTTTTATAAGAGGTAGAATGAGAAATGAATGAAGTTGCAAAGTCACTCAAAACAAAATTCTTGATGTTTTAAAAACTGTACCAGAACCCGATTGGGAATAATGGGTAACTGGTCAGAGCGGGTCTTCCAATTTTTATAATTTTTAAACTGAAGTTATATATTTATAATAAAAGGAATAGACAACATAAAATTGAATCTTGTTATGAATCTCGTGTATTCTTATTTTATTAATGAATGAGGTTACAACTTATATATATACACAATAGGGGAGACAAATCCCAATTGGACTAGGAAACACTAAAGCCCACTAAGACTAACATAAAGGCCTTGGTCGGTTGGGCGAGTCTTCTAGAAGCTAGACATGGGCCTTCTAGAACCTGGACATGGGCCACGGTTATGGAGTCCATCCGTTATGTGGTTTACAACAAATCTTTTTTTGTTTTACAAAGTATATATATTGAATCTAAATCCATAAGAAAATGAATTGTAAAAGATTGAATAAAACATACTCTGTAAAACACAACATGCAAAAAAATCGTAAATACTTCAAATTTGTTGATCAGAAGTAATAAACGATAAACACTATGAAAATATATAGAAATATTTATTTTTAATCCATGTTTTGAAATTTTGGTTGTGTTCATCAAAATTGGACAATTGAAATAGTTTCTCACGAAATTTTTTTAAAAAATATAAAGTAAAAAATAATTTTAATTGAAATTTTAACAATGATTGAAAAATCTGTATTAATCAAATTTAAGACTTAAATATTCTGAACTAGGTTTTTATATCAAACCGTACCACAAGGTTTGTCGGTTTTTGGCTGGTTTTAGCGGTTCAACTCAAATCCAGTTTTCGACTCAACCCCCATTCGGATAGATGGACGATTTCCGGCTAACTGGCCGGTCAAGTTTTCAAAACATTGTTTATATTGCGTTTGTCCATTGTACAGTATTTTGAAAGTTCTTATTTATGTAATGATCAAAATTCCTACAACGAAATACTAATGATCAAGTTTTCTTTAATAAAAAAGTACTGATCAAGGAGCAAAAAGAAAATTGGTTTCACATGTATTTTATACATGTCTTATAACAATTTGGGCTCACATGTAAATAACTCAAGTCTTCTTACAAACAAAATAATTTGTGTTGACACGGGATCTTATATTTATATTCAAGTGGGATCTAATATATTTTTTTCCATTGCTACTTGAAACCGAGTTATCCAATAACAAAAGCTTTTGCTTTTAAATTATGCTCACTTAAACATAGAAAATCTACTTTGTTCTCCACAATATATAGAATAACAAGTGAGACAATTCAGAAGACTTTATACATTTTAAAGTCAATTACGCTCTTTTATTATACATATATATGAAAACCGAAACTTGTTGAGAGAAACGAATATTAGGTCATCGACCTAACATATATATGTAATAAAAAAAAGCGTATTTGACTCTTGAAAAAGTATAGTCTTTTCTGAATTGGTCCAACTTAGTTTTAATGATTCTATATATTTGTGTGGAACAAAGAAATGAACATGTGTTTGACCAAAACAGAAAATGAACACGTAACGTGATTTCATTTATCTATATATAGATGCATTAATTCACATCTTGAAATTGATACGTTTATATCAACCAAAAATATGTACAAACACACGGTTTGCATACTAATTTTGAGTTTTCTTTTGTTCTCTGGATTATCAAACACGTATTAGCTCGAGTTCACTATGAATCTCCAAGCCATAGTAAGTGTTTTTTTTTTTTTCCCTTTCTAAGCAATTTTAGATATGTTCGATACGATTTGGGTTTGGTTTGTAGTTCAAAATTTTAATTGCAAACCAAATATTCTTCAATTTTGTTCATACGTTGATCTTTTGGTTTTGGTTCTATGTTTCACAATTTAATAGTTGTTTTATATATCTTTTTCAAAATTGATTAGCTAATAGTTGTTTTCTTTTTAGGGAAGGAAATAGGAAAAGAAGTTTGGGATCAAACACTCTTAAGCGAGAACAAGATTGGTGCATCAGGAAGTAATTCAGGGAGAGCTCCTTCGTGTAATAATAGTTGTAAACCTAGCGGGCCTTTACTAAAAAAATAACAAATCTTTGATTCAAGTTGATCCAATTTGACAAAGTCTGCTAACATATTAAGATATAGATTGTTGAGCTAAGCTTGAGATAAAGCTTTAAGTTCTGTGGTTAAAGTTAACTTGAGATATGAGTTAACTTGAGGATAAAGATAAGAGAGATTAGGAGTTATCTAAACCGTGTGAAAATATCTTTGTAAAACCCTAGGCGAGTTATGTCTAAGGTCGGTCATATCTTGTGTTTAAAGTCGGTCTTGTTTTGTATATATATGAGATACCATTGTGTGGTAATCCATATGAGTTGTGTATGAGTTTGTGAGAAAGAGATTGAGATTGTGAGTGTATGGTTTTGAGTTAGTTTCCATATCAATAAAAGAAAGGTTCTTTTATACTCATAGTTTCATCTTGTTCATAGGGTTTGATACAATAATTGGTATCAGAGCAAAACTATTGCATCACAACCCTAATCGGAAAAGAAACAGAGCTATTGTTTCTTGAGTTTTGTAGTTACGATGGGAGAACTAATCCCGACAGGTACTGGTATCAAGGAAGGAGGTAATTCATCCTCCATTAAGTGTCCGATGCTAACCACAACAAACTATACGTTTTGGACTATACGTATGACGATGGCTCTAAAGGTTCATAAGGTTTGGGACGCTATAGACCCTGGAGCAGAGGATATTGACAAGAACAGCATGGCTAGTGCTCTTCTTCTGCAGTCTATCCCTGAAGCACTAACACTTCAAGTTGGGAAACTAAACACTGCAAAGAAGATATGGGATGCAATTAAATCTAGGAATCTAGGAGCTGATAGGGTTAAAGATGCGAGATTACAAACCCTAATGGGTGATTTTGAGAGAATTAAGATGAAAGAAACTGAGAAAATAGATGATTTTGCGGGAAGACTCTCAGAATTACAGACAAAGTCAGCCTCACTTGGACATGATATTGAAGAACCAAAACTTGTTAAGAAATTCTTGAATGGTTTGCCAAGGAAAAGATATATACACATAATAGCCGCACTTGAACAAGTTCTTGACTTAAACTCAACAAGTTTTGAAGATATAGTTGGTAGATTAAAAGCCTATGAAGAGAGAATCTGTGATGAAGAAGACAATCAAGAGGATCAAGGCAAGTTGATGTATGCAAATTCTGAAACACAAACATGGTATACTAATAGAGGAAGAGGCCAAGGTGGCAGAAGAGGTAGAGGAAGAGGCCGTTTCAGTAATAATCAAAACAATAGCTATCAACAAAACAGAGATGCAAGTAAGATAACATGCTACAGATGTGACAAACTGGGTCACTATGCATCAGACTGTCCTGATAGGCTACTTAAACTTCAAGAAACACAAGAAACAAATGCATCAAAGAATGGTGATACACAAGAAGCTGATGCTCTAATGATGCATGAAGTCGTATATTTGAATGAAAAGAATTGTGTTCCAAATACATTTGAAACTGGCTCAGATAATGAAAACATCTGGTACTTAGATAATGGAGCCAGCAATCATATGATAGGAATTTTGGCCTACTTCTGCAAACTTGATGAATCAATCACAGGTAAAGTAAGATTCGGGGATGATTCACGTATTGACATCAAGGGAAAGGGCTCAATCACTTTTGTTGCAAAGAATGGAGATCAAAGAGTGTTACATGACGTTTACTATATTCCAGATTTAAAGAGTAACATAGTAAGTCTTGGTCAAGCTACTGAATCAGGTTGTGATGTTAGAATGAAAGAAGATTATCTAACACTTTATGATAAAGAGGGAAAGCTTCTTGTCAAAGCTCAGAGGTCTAGAAATCGTCTCTACAAAGTAAATTTGAAAGTTGAAAATGCTAAGTGTCTGCAAATTGGAATGGTAAATGTTTCATCAAAGTGGCATGCCAGGTTAGGGCATATTGGAACAGAGACCCTGAAAACAATGGTAGATAAAGAACTTGCTTATGGCATACCACATATTAAAGTTGAGAAGGATATATGTTCTTCATGTCTGCTTGGGAAACAAACAAGGCAGTCCTTTCCACAAGCAACATCATTTAGAGCAAAAGATATTCTTGAGCTAGTTCATGGGGATCTCTGTGGACCCATAACGCCCTCTACACCATCAAGAAACAGATACATCTTTGTTCTTATTGATGATTGCTCACGATACATGTGGACACTTCTTTTAAAAGAGAAGGGAGAAGCTTTTAATAAATTTAAAAGCTTCAAGGCAAATGTTGAACAGGAAACTAAGAAAAGTATCAAGACATTTCGAACTGACAGGGGAGGAGAGTTCCTTTCAGCTGAATTTCAAACATTTTGCGATGTTTCAGGTATACAGAGACATTTAACTGCACCATACTCTCCTCAACAAAACGGAGTCGTCGAGAGGAGAAACAGAACATTAATGGGAATGACAAGAAGCATCTTAAAACATATGAACGTTCCAAATTACCTATGGGGAGAAGCGGTCAGACATGCTACATACATCATTAACAGGGTTTCAACTAGAACTCTGATAAATCAAACT